AATAATATAAAAAATATTAAAAATTAATTAAACAAATTTCTTTACATGTTAGTTACTCTTTCACAATGCAGTCATTTTGACTGCTTTTGGGCAATATAGGTATATACTAAGTTTCAAACTTTCTAGCGTTAAGTTTGGTTTAATTAACCAATTTAAATAAATATCAGTATATTCTAAGAAGTATTATATGATAAGATATATTTGTATAATAAGCAACACATAACAGAAAGCAATTTTCCTCAAAAATAAATTTTGTTTCATAAGGTTTCTGAAATTTCTATTTTAGCGTTTATAGCATTAGAAATAAAATAGTTGGAACAATGGAAATAAAATAGTTGTCCAGCGATTTTTTTCCAAATAAATCGTGATGCACTTACGTAGTTTTTTTTTCATTTGTATGGCAGTGATAATTGGTGTAGCTTTTATAGGTACAAATGTGCTAATATTGGCACAATGTAATAAATTAGCACAATGTAATAAATTAGCATATTTGATACCTGTTAAATCTGCCTCAAGCCTAAGAAGCTGCAATATAGATATCACGAAAGAAGTTTTTATACGGTACTTCCAAAGGGATAAGCATCGGAGAAAAACCGCGTTATTGCGGTAAATTTTGACTATCACAAATTAGCATCGAACAACAGCATCGTGCCAAATGATTCTAAATACAGTTAATCTTTATTTTGAGGGGATGAACTACTAAAACGTGTTTTGCTTAATCTAATAATGTACAGTGCTGACGTAAAATATCCTCTGTGGAAGGCGGATTCTAGGTTACAGTCTTCGTGACGTCAGACTAACCATGGGAGGTTTACATCGTTTTCCACAAAGGCAAATTTCTCCCTATACTTGATCCAGGAGTTCCATTATCTTCTGGATTGGGTTCAAAATTATAAGACTGCGGAGTTGAACAATATCAGTCGTAAACCCAAAACATTGGGTCGGCTGTTCAACAACGGTTATAAAATCTATTAATTTAAAGCCAATGAATTTAAAAAATAAAATTAAAAAATGACTTTTAAATTTTTTTTTGCACTGGTAGTCTTGTGCAGGATTTAGTAGCGTCGCTCAATACTGATATGCTGATTGCCTATTTTTTTCCGACCCGTCCAAAGAAGGGGAAATCAGCTAAGCACTTATAAAGCTAAGCACTAATAGTATAACTAATAGCTCTTATAAAGCTAAGCTCTTGTTATACTTATATACATTAGTTATACATGCATTACTATATGGATTATTTAGATTTGCATTACCAATACTGACATAAAAAACCGGTAAAACTATAAAGTGAAATAATTACAAGCGAGAAAAAAAACTTTTACACTTTTTATTTATTTATATTGTCTTTTTTTTTATATTTAGTAAAACCGGAAATTAAACAAAACTATATAAGAATAAAACAAAACTATATAAGAATTACAATTCTAAAGGACAATATCATGCATGCATTAAGTCACTCTATCGAGTAGAATTCGATCCCTTAGGATGAGGCCACTTGGAAAATATTAATTTAGGGGAGCCGTCATCCTATATATTTTTTTCTCGAATATTTTTTCACTCTTTTTTACTCGTTTAAGCGTAGAAAATGAACAAAATGTCTTTTTTTTTTCTTTTCCCGTCCCCTCAAAACCTACCAATTTACTTTTATTTTTTTTGAATTTTTTGTTCTCTCGATTTTTTTTTTCCCGAAAAAGTTTTTCTCCCGTTCGGTTACGATACCGTACCGCGAAATGTAACGGAGCGTTAAAATTGTTTCCTGGTATGACCACGGGGAGAAGGTTTGATAGGGGTGATAGTTTGTAGGTAATTTGAAGTGAAAATGGGGGGAGAGAAAGGGGAGTTTCATCAGGCTGTGAAATATGAGAGATAAAAAGAAAAAAAGGGAACCTATCAAATGTTGGGGAGAGAAAAATCGTTTTTAATTTAGAGAATTATGTGCATCGTGAATGAGGTCTGTATTTTTATTTATATACTTACAGAATACATTAAATTTTTTATTATACTAATGAATCAGAAAGGTATGGAATTGAGGCCAAGATTTCGTAGATTAATCATGGATTTTAACGGAGTGAAAAATCGCAAATACTTTAGGATTTGTTATAATTAATTTAATTATAAATTAAATTATTTATTTACTCATATTAAATTTATTTGCACGAAAAGATATTAGTAATGTATAACAACACACGGGGAATAAATCTTTCGAGTGGTAGATTTCGCAGATATTATGGATTTTAATGGAATGAAAAAAATTTAATTCACTTTAGGATTGATTATAATTAACGTAAGTATCAATTAAATAATTTCTTTTTTTACAGAAATTAAACTGGATTTGCATTAAAGGATATTAGTAATGTATAATAACACTGGGGAGCAAATCTTTTGCTGAATTTATGCAAATGCTTGATATTGCTTAATTAAGTGTGGGGTTTTCAAATTTGTAATCAATTTCGTTCTTAAAGCTACAGATTTTTTTTATTCTTAAAAATGACATTTTCAGTCTATTTTCTGTCAAAATATACAAGTTTAAAAACGTTATAAATAACAGGGGATCGCGTAAAGTTGCGACAAGCTTCTAAGGGAGTTAGGGCATCATCAGGATTAAAATTGCATAAAAATCTATGCTCGAAAATGTCGTCACGTAGTGCTAGGGACGCTTAACTATTATGACATGTTTAGCACACGAAAAGACCTTTCATAATAAGGAAGCGTCTTCAGCTGCGTATGACGACATTCTCGGGTATAGATTTCTATGCAATTTTAATCTTGACGAAGAGCCCTAATTCCCCTAGAAGCTTATCGCAACTTTTATGCGACTCCCTGTTACATATAACGTTTTTAAATTTGCACATTTCGACAAAAATAGACAAAGAATGTAATTTAAAAAATAACTAGAGCTTGTAGAGAGAATCCGATTGCAGATTTGAAATCGCTTAAAGTAAAAGTATCTACGATTTGTTAAAAACAGAAAACCAAGATTGTTTTTTATGTTAATCCAACAATAATGATTTAAAACCAGTGTAAAAGCCATGTATAAACATAATACGACTTACAAGGCTTATTATAGGAACATTCATAAAATAAATTTACTCTTATAAAATCCCTTTAGATAAAATTGGAAAAAAACCATTTCTAAAACAACGATTAGAAGAATGAATGAAATTTAGGAATCCACAGAAAATTTTGTGAGGGTGAAAAAGAAACCAAAAGCTGTGACGAAACTTGACGCAGTGATGAATGTGAAAACCACTAGCCTAAGCATCCTTTCAACAAGAGCAGAGGAGCAAAATAATTTAATATGCCGTGTCCTCTTGTAAAAGATGAAGGAACAAATGAAGGATTACATCCCAGCCCAATAATACGGCAACGAGGGATTGGAGATGAGGATGCTATTAATCGTGATGGAATCAAGAAGATGAATTATCGTCAAGATCTCTCATCTCTGTGTCATCTCCTTCTATTCCGTAAGAGATGCTCCAGGAGAAAATAAGTAAAAAAAAATTGGAACGAGATTATAATAAATACTTCGAAAGGGTTTGGTTCGAAATATCTGTTCAATTAGATATTTTAGGATACATCTGCGTTTCGGAGGGTGGAGAGATTGATCATAAAATAATATAAAACTGATTAAATTATTCTTGAATAGAATCTATGTTTAGAGAGTTTGGTCGTACAAAGATTTTAGTTCAAACTGTATTGTTATCTACGTTTTCGTTTTTATTAAGAGTTAAATGCAGGTATTAAAGTTAATTAAGTTATTTTCAACTAACACTATTGCTCAATACTTTTTAACTTTTTTTTTTAATAATTTAAGACTAATAAAAATAAAAGTGTTTACTGCTTACATGCTAAAACTCTAAGCATTATGTACCTATCAAATTTTAAAAGGTATTTTTTTTTTGTATTAAAGTATGATAAAATGTGATTTAAGAATGATATATATATATATATATTGTTATTATTATTATAAAATTTTTTTTTTGTGGAATGCTTTACAAAATATATTTATTTGCTGTTGCATCGATAAAAAACGCGAATTTTATTTATTTCATATTTTTTAAGGTATAAAGCACTGTGACGAATTAAAAAAAATACTTTTTTATTTTTACAAAGGTTGAAATGCTCAAAAAAAAATTTTTTTTTTGAAAATAAAATGCTTAAATCTATGTGCTTAACAAAAATTAAGCACAAAATCTGTTGACGAGAATATGCGTTAGGAATTGACATACTCAAACTTCCTTTTCATTATATTTTAAATTAAAACTTACATAAACTTTCTTTAAAAATTTGCTATCAAAATTTGGTGGAATTTATTAGTATACGTTGCATGTTATGTATATACGAAATAAGTTCGATATTATTTAATTTGATGAAGCAGTTAGTTTATATAGTACATTGTATTCTAAATAAGTTATATGAAGTTTTAGTCCTTTAATTGACTACATTTTCCTTTTAATATCCGTCGTTGAACAGTCGACCCAATTTTAAGTTTATGACGAACAATGTTCAACCCCATAGCCTTGTAATTTTGAACCCAATCCAGAAGACAAGGGAACTCCTGGATCAAATATTGGGTAAAACATGCCTTCGTGGAGGACTTTTTGATGGAACTAACCCTTATTTGCGCTACATGAAGAGGAAAACCACGAAAACCTCCCACGGTTAGCTTAACAGCAAGGGGTCTCTAACTCATGATCTACCACCGAGGATATTTCACGTCAGCATTGTGGTCGGTCTGAAAAATGAAAAAGTAGCTTTTCATAAATATTCAGCTTTTTTATTCTTTAATCATGCTGTCTCTTAACTACTCTACATGCTGATAAGCCAGGCGGTCGTGCTTGAAAAAAATAAAAAGATTTTAAAAAAATTCTTGTTAATTAATCGAATAAGAAAAATTTAACTTCGATACATCTAATCTGTTGGTAAAAGTATGAAAAATTCCATTCTTTCATTCCATTCTCAAAGAAAAATCAAATGATGAATAAAAATATCGAACTTACCCCGACAATAGCATTAAGTTCAGTCATAGTGACTTGTTTTGCGCGTTCCACCGCAGCAGCTACTTGTTGCTGATGCTGAAAAAATTATTATTATTATTAGTTTTTCAGTCATATTTAATAGATCTTCTTTTGGGCAGATAATATAAACAAAATAAGTTTGATTAACTTTTATTTGCTGAAATTTATTAGCATACATTGAATATAGTATCCAAAATAAGTCACAGTTGCTTATACTTAATGGAACCGATTAGTTATCTTGCATGTAACATCCGAAATAAGTTCTAGAATTTTTTTTGTTGATGAAATTGATTAGAATAGATTGATTATAGCATAAGGAATAGGTCTTGAAAATTTTCTAAATGATATATATTAATATTAGTTGTGTAACGAGCCCTCATCCCCTTCATCTCAGAAAACTATCCCTAGAGGGCGCCGCTGGCGCAACAGAAGTAATAACTTTTTATTATTTTAAAAAACTTAAAAACAGTAGAAGTAGATGTAATGTTACNTAAAAAGTTGAATGTAGAATTATCTGAAATCAGTTGTAAGGAATTTTATCTGAAGAAAATTATTAATGAATATTGTACAAAGTATACGAAAAAAAAAACCCATGTGATTTTTCTTGCTAGAGCCGATTAGTATAATTGCACACAATATCCGAAAAAAGTTCTAGGAAATTTTGATGAAATTGATTAGAATAGATTGATCAATGTATAAGAAATAAGTGTAGAATTTTTTTTATGAAATATTTTAATATTAGTAGAATNGGCGGTCTAAAGGTAAGTGGAACATTTTCCACAATTCATATTGAAAACAGGAATTCATTTTAGATTGAACAAGTTGTATGTAAAAAGTTGAATGTAGAATTATCTGAAATCAGTTGTAAGGAATTTTATCTGAAGAAAATTATTAATGAATATTGTACAAAGTATACGGAAAAAAAAATCAATGTGATTTTTCTTGCTAGAGCCGATTAGTATAATTGCACATAGTATCCGAAAAAAGTTCTAGGAAATTTTGATGAAATTGATTAGAATAGATTGATCACAGTATAAGAAATAAGTGTAGAATTTTTTTTATGAAATATTTTAATATTAGTAGAATGTAGCAACTGAAATAAATTGTAAGGAATTTTATTCGAAGAAAACTATTAGTATACATTGCACAAAGTACACGAAAAAAATCCTAGGAGATTTTACTTACTAGAGCCGATTAGTATAATTGCATATAGTATCCGAAAAAGTTCTGGGAAATTTTGATGAAATTGATTAGAATAGATTGATCACAGTATAAGAAATAAGTGTAGAATTTTTTTTATGAAATATTTTAATATTAGTAGAATGTAGCAACTGAAATAAATTGTAAGGAATTTTATCCGAAGAAAACTATTAGCATACATTGCACAAAGTATACGAAAAAAATCCTAGGAGATTTTACTTACTAGAGCCGATTAGTATAATTGCATAGAGTATCCGAAAAAAGTTCTAAGAAATTTTGATGAAATTGATTAGAATAGATTGATCACAGTATAAGAAATAGGTGTAGAATTTTTTTTATGAAATATTTTAATATTAGTAGAATGTAGCAACTGAAATAAATTGTAAGGAATTTTATCCGAAGAAAACTATTAGCATACATTGCACAAAGTATACGAAAAAAATCCTAGGAGATTTTACTTACTAGAGCCGATTAGTATAATTGCATAGAGTATCCGAAAAAAGTTCTAAGAAATTTTGATGAAATTGATTAGAATAGATTGATCACAGTATAAGAAATAGGTGTAGAATTTTTTTTATGAAATATTTTAATATTAGTTGAATGTAGCATCTGAAATAAGTTTATTTGATGAAAATTATTATACATTGCATATAGAATACAAAAAAAGTCCCAGGAGATTTTACTTGATAGAATCAAATAGTTTAATTGCATATATGATCCGAAATAAACTCTATTAAAATTTTTTGATGAGAATTATTCGAATACATTGACTAAAGAATCTAAAATTTAAGAAATTCTACTTGATACAATAGTATTAACAGCATATACGATCCAAAATAAGTTGAAGGAAATTTTATCTGAGGAGATTTATTAGCATACGTAGTATATATCATATACTAGATCATAATCATAGTAATAGATATCTTAATATATAGTAAGTTTTAGATTTCAGCCCAAAAAGAACTTAAAAATTATGCAAAAGAAAATGCATATGTACTCTGAATTCGTAGATATTGGAATTATAATTAAGGTATATTTGATCAAAATGATATAAAAGACATCATAATATCTCTGATTTCACCTCAAAAAGAACTTAAAGATTGATTATGCATTCTGAATAAGTAGATATTGGAATTATAATTGAAAACAAACTAATTATTTCCGTAGCGTCTTCATAAATAAATTATTGCCTGCCTTTAAACTCATTTCGATTATTTTTACATGAAAACAAGAGAATTTGCACACCGAACAAAATCAATAGCATGGTAGCCTTCAAAGTTGACACAGAAACTATCCCTTCGAATTTACTGTAGCCGTTTCCTCTAATTCCGCCAGATTCATTCGAACATAAGCTAAATCTTTAATTCAGACTTAAGTCTCCGACGTACCGGATTGGCGACTTAATTCAAATGGCTGTTCATGAATTTGCATTCTTTAAGCCCATTTAATACCAAAGACTCGAGCCAAGAATCGCAGAAGTTCGGATGTAGCCATTGCATAATTATACAGTTTTGGTATCGAAAACGAATTTCAGCCCTCATTTTCTTAACATACGCAACCTTGCGTTGTAGATTTGCTCGCGATGAATAGAAGTACAATAGGATTTAATGTAAAATAGAGTACGTCTGGAGATTTAACGATATTGCATCCTAAAGTCAAAGGAAATGAATATTGAAATTGTTAACAAAGCTTTTGTTGAATTGTGTTTATGTCATATTGATTTCAATATAGAAAGTATAACATATTTATAATTAACTGTTATGTCTGCAAATACGGTAGTTGTAAATATTTCATACCATAACTGTGAAATATTTATTCGAAGAGTGATAGTTATTTGAACTAATTACAATTATTCATTAAACTCATACCTCCTACAGGACAAAACGTTGAAATAACACAACAGGAAGAACTTCAGTAATATTTGTTAAATACAAAACTATTTCAAAAAGTTTTAAAACCGGATCAAAGATATTTAAACAATGATTTCCAAAAATATTTTAACGATAATTTCCTAAAAATACTTAAAAAGGATGAATTCTTTAAATTGTTTATACAAAAATCCACGCAATACAAAATTACATTTTAGATAAGTAACTTTTATAACATTAATTAGATATGAAATAGTTTCAAAAAGTCTCAGGAAAGTCCCCGAAATCTTTTAAGAATAATGCCATAAAATATTTCATCGATAATATCCCAAAACTGTTTTAACACGGTGAATTATATAATTATATATTTAGGGGTATTATAAAAAATAATGTAAAACTACGGCATTATTATACAAGTAAGGAATATATAGGCAACACCTAATGATATTTTAAGCGTGATTTCATGACGTTGCACAGTTATTCATTAAATTGTTCATTCTAACACCATGTATAAGTTACTTTTACTTTATGTTATAGTTTACCATGTATAGTTTACTATGATAAGTTACTTTTGTTATATTTATTTGGTAACAAATCATCCCATAAAGTCCCAAATTACTAAAATATTTTAACAATGATACCCAAAATTATTACAACGATGATATTCCATAAAAGGTTTAAAAATATTGAGTATTAAATAAACATATTAGAAGGGGGATATTATAGAAAATAATATAAAATAATGGTATTGCATAGGCAGAGAATATATGAACATCTAGAGATTAATGTCTATGGGTAATCCATGTCCAAATAGATTTTCATTTATTTTATAATCGGCGTAGAACATCCGACTATCAATGTTTAACTCTGTAGCCTTGTAGTTTTGAACCCAAACCAGAAGACAAGGAAACTCCTGGATGAAGCATTGGGGCTAACTAGCCTTCGCGGAGGACTTTATGATGGAGCTTACCCACATTTCCGTTACATAGAGAAGAAAACCACGAAAGCCTCCAATAGTTAGCCCAACGGCAAGGGGATTCAAACCCACCATCCGTCTATCACTGAGAATATTTTACGTCAGCACTGTGGTCGGTGCGAGTAGGGAGAAGAATTCATATGAACCAGCAACCGCTGAGATTCGAATCTGGGCAACCTCAAACGCTCTATCCCCTGAGCCACTGCTACTCAAATAGATGACTTGAAAAAACAGAGTTAACATACGAATAACTAACAAATACAGGCGACAAAAGGAGTTCTTTAACGAATTAGCGTATATCCGTCTTGGTAAATAATTTTTAAATGTTTATCAGTTTGGTTCTCGAAATAATTTTAACAAAAAACTTTTTTAATAATTATCTGATAATTATTTCCACAAATCATTTGATGCAACTAATTATAGAAACTTTTTATAACTTAATCTGAAAATTAGCTTGTGAGACTTGCCCCCTCTAATTCAGAGATAATTTACAACAGCATTATTGCCTGATTAAAGTACAGGCATGCCTGTATGCTTGTGGCATGCTTGTCTATAACTGGAGATAATTAATTACAATACTGTGTGGGATTATCGATGTGTGGGATTGTTAATGAACAGTACGACTTGTAAGATTTAAGCATTTGATGTGTCTACCGCTAAAGAAAATTTATAACAACAAACAGGCTATCACATGGTCGAAGAATTTACCTGTAATTCGTCTACCACTGAAGATAATTTCTAACAAAACTGTGCTGGTTTGATGGTTGGTTTCAAGACCTTTAGACTTTAATTTGTAGGCCTTTAAGACTTTAATAAATAAACCTCTGAGATAATTTATAAGAGCATTTAATATAAGGTCAGAGAATAGGAAGACCTCGTCTACCACTGAGAGATATTATATAACAGTGCTGTGTTAGTTGATAAACTTTGTCTATGAGCAGATCTGTAAGAATCTAAATCTTCATCAGTACACTATTTTATAACAGCAATAGCATTTTTGCTGAATCAAAGAA